AATTTAGCGTTAATTAAGTACTGGCTTCCCTTGTTATCTTATCACTGTTTGTTTATCACTGTACGTTTTCAGCTTTCATTCACTCGATGGAGAATAAAGAATGTACTCCGTTGCATCGTGTTATACAAATACAGAAGTTTACGCCCATAACTGCTCTTAATACCTTTAGGTATTTTATGAGTCCCTGTTTATGAGCTCTGTTTTCACTGGGCTAAGCTACACATTGCCTACTCCCCATATTACCGTGAAGATCCGGGTTAGATTGAGTCTTCAGCAACACATGCTTGTCCTAAAAGGTGACTAACGGAATCAGGTGGTCGGAGCTCGCTGACTTGGTTGGTTGACAATGTCATCGTAACCCAACTCCGTGGCGTTTTGCTCCATAATGTTGATCACTGTATTGTCTGGTCCATACTCGAATATTTACAGATCGCCGCCATATAGCTGTAATATTGCCTAGTGCGGTGTTAAACAACAGACCAACCAAAACCAACTCCCCGTCGGGCTGTATTGTATCAGTGGTGGAATTTTATGCACCATGTGCCTTTCATCTGGTCGTTTAATGTTGTGCATGTTTCCGCACATATATATATCTACTATTATGTGAAAAGGTATTGTTCCTAAATGTATGGTGCCATAACCTCTCATACTTCTACAAGAATGGCTTCTGTACATACGTATATGTTTCGTCTGTCCCCGAACTCCCAACTATCGACTTGAGACAGTGCCACAATTCATCGACCGACGTGGTAAGGTGTGTTTAACAAAAACGTAATAAAATTATTGCTTGGGAATAAAGCACTATATGATAAACACCTGTATATTGAAAATAAGTTAGTTTAGATGGGGGAGCTGAAGTTGGACGGAGGAAGAAGATTGGGAAGTTGATTGCCTATAAGTTCAACTAAGTAAAGTGGTGTAAAAAGTATATTGTGACTTATTGTGCAAGAACAGTTAAACTGTTGCTGATAAGCTCATAAGGAGTCTACTAAATAGATGAATTGGGGTTAAATGTTAAAAAGTAGGGCTGGGAGCCAGGGTACGGTGTTTATGTTTTGGTTGTGAAACGTGTGGTGCGTGGCCTTGACATTGTGAGTTAGTCTGGATAATCGAGTTTACACTGTAATGTGTGGCTGGATAGGGATGTTTTAAAGGGTTTATTCTGCATATATTCTGATATTTTATTTTCTGACCCAGTCTGGTAGTTATTGAGTCATTTTGGTTTCTTCCTAGTAAGTAATGAGTAGAAGGTACTAGATCTTTGCACCTGTGGCTGTAATATATTGTAAGGAGTTTCGTTGGGGATAGAGAAGGACGGGAGCGGCTTTCCTCCTGTGTGTACAAGATAAATGTTTTGTAGATGTGTACAGGAGGGTTTATTTGTCTGCATCCCAGTGAATGCCACCTATTAGCTCTATTTGATTTGAATCGTTTTGACATGAGTTGACCAGGTTATAAACAAGATGATACAGGTAGATAGTTCCATATATTGAACGAGTTTCAAGTCCTCCTCTGGAAACGAAAATGTTACGAAAGGATTAACTGGATACGCTAATCAGCTTTTCAAAACCTGTGCGACCACATCCAGCTGTAGCCTTTACTTTACTTTTTATTCTCAATAGACCACCAATGGTGGTAGCAAAAGTACATATCACACACATCAATAATTACATACAGTCAAAATAGCGGCGGGAGGTGTATATATTATGAAAACCAGTTGTTGGTATAACATGTCTAATTATCTAACTTTTGTCAGAAGCTTATGGCGGAAAAGATGGGTTTTTGATAGATATTTTGATCAGCAGAACAGGTTTGAAATTAGCGGACAAAATGTCTCTTACATTATAATAAAGAGGCGTTGTATATCCATATAACTTTCCCCGTTGTTAAGCACACCAACTTCTAAATGCCGTCCAAAGAAGTTCACTATATATGGCTAGACCAGCGTTTAACGTGCGTACTATTTTTTCGCTTTGATTAGACGAGCAGTTTGACTGCATCCTTTTATTTATTTGCTTAGATTACTGTTGACTGTGGAATGGTTCTGTTACTACATTGAGGGTTTGCAAGGTGCTTTACTGTCACGTGCGTCTCCTCTATCTTTGGGTAGGAGCGAATTGGGTTCATGTAGGTGAAAGTTCTTCAGTTAAATAAATTTCATCGTTTTTATTAGTTCAAAGAAACTACAGCTGTATTTTTGATCACCCTGAAATACAATAAAAGTGACATAAACATAAGCAGTTTAAGTTCCCATGCCTCATTTCTAGCAATTCCTCCGCCTATAACCAAACAGCGAGAACTTGATAATTATTTTTGAATCGTCTACATACAGCTCATTTATAGTGTCTACATACTGAAACTCTCTGAATGTGATGTATATGTAATAAACTGAGCTGCAAAGAAACGCAAGCTCAATTTGTTTTGAAATGTAAGTGTAACTCACCATTCCATTAAGTTGGAATTGAACTGATGGCGTACAATATGGCGTCCTGAAACCATCAACAATGAACCTAAAACATGAATATTGCTCTTAGGCGACATATACATGTATTTCAATTCACACACTCACTCGGTGATTTTATTTTAGGATGCTGGTTTGGATGTGGTTGATTGTGTCTTGAGTGCACAACCACTCATGGTGGAAATTGACATGAAAATATACTCGTCACAATGCCTTATTTGTCATAGGTCCCTCGTTCATCTGGCACTTCCGACATTTCTCACACAACATCATAATTCAAAGAAAACCATAAAAAGAACCAGTCAGACTAGAAAATTCGGAAACTTTTTGGGAGCAGTACATCAAAGAAGATATGATCCGCTCTCAACAGAGATGAAGGATACTACATTCCCAATGCCTATTATTACTTGATAAAGTAATCAATAATATTTCTTGTGTACATTATCTGTTTCAATTCAACTATGTACATCAAACCCATCTTTTGTATATACATCAACCTGGCCTCCTATAAATTCTAATTCAGTCCTTGTATATCACCCTTCTAGCTTCCTGAAATCAACTTACTCAATCTCTTCTAAGCGTTGTACATCAACCTCATTTAATGTATAAACAACTCATCCCTATCTACCGTAATAACAACTCATGTATATATTCTCTCAATTTGTTTACTCATGTATCACTTGCTTGACAACGACATTAGAATCTATGTCGAAACGTCGCCTCCACAGAATAAAAGAAGTTGTATATCCAATATAATTGTCATTATTCTTCATCAACTCAAAATCTAAAATGCCCATCAAAGAAACAATTCAATTGGTTGGTGTGATTAAGTTGGTTAAGACAATTCGAAGCCAGTTATGTCAAAAAATATGTAATTCCTTAAGTCACATCACAAAATGAACGTTTCCGTTATTTCACGATATGACTATTGCATACGTGCAAATTGCATGTCAAAGGAAAGTCTACATCTCTATAAGATATTTTCTAAAAGTCTAGTCATACACGGCCATTCGTGGGCAAGAACATTACTGAAAACCATTTAATACTATCCAGAAATTACGATGGCGACTGAGATCCCGTTTGCAGTCGATCATGCGCAGACAGCACTGAATTGTAGGTAATATCGCCGCTTTATCGCCGCTCTATCGGCTTTCTATAAACTTTATCGCTTTGCTCTATCGCCGCTTTATCGGCTTTCTCGCTCTATCGCTTTCTCGCTTTATCGCTTTCTCGCGTAATGGTATCGCTTTCTCGTCTCGTGCTATCGCTTTCTCGTCTCGTGTTATCGCTTTCTCGTCTCGCGTTATCGCTTTCTCGTCTCGCGCTATCGCTTTCTCGTCTCGTGCTATCGCTTTCTCGTCTCGTGCTATCGCTTTCTCGTCTCGTGTTATCGCTTTCTCGTCTCGTGATATCGCTTTCTCGCTTTCTCGCCTCCGAATTTTAAGGCGAGAAAGCGATGTCCCTAATCAGCCACCATACGATCGGGTTCAGATCAGGCGATTTGGAAGGCCAGGGAAGGACATTTATGTTTGCATTGGCGAGATAGGCACCTGTTACATGGGTTGTGTGGGGTCGAGCGTCGTCGTGTTGAAAAAGCTCCCTCTGGCGGTTAAAAAGTTGGAGGAGGTGAGGTCGCAGGATTTGGTCGGTGCAGCGATTTGCTGTATGATTCCCTTGAACCACCACTAACTCTGTGCAGGTCATGCCCCCACCCCAGCCCTCCACCCCCACCATGACGCTGTCTCCACCAAATCTGTCCACCTGTCGAACCTAGTTCGTCGATAGACACATTGTCCCCCTTCCCGTCGTTGCTCGAATTCCCACTTCTTTCAGACGATGTCTGATGCTTACGCCGCTTTTAGCAATTCGCTCGTCACGCCGAAGCCCCGGGTTCGATTCCCACATCTGTACAATGTGTTTAGCCCATTTCTGCCGTGCCCCCGTAATATTGCTAAAAGTTTACACGATGATTTAGAAATGCGGTTTGTAGATTCATTTTCAGCCCTTTGAATCAGTATTTCAACTGGTTGATTCAATAGTGCGGCGCATTGATTCAGTATTTCAACTGGTTGATTCAATAGTGCGGCGCATTGATTCAGTATTTTAACTGGTTGATTCCATAGTGCGGCGCATTGATTCAATATTTTAACTGGTTGATTCGATAGTGCGGCGCATTGATTCAATATTTCAATTGGTTGATTCGATAGTGCGGCGCATTGATTCAATATTTCAACTGGTTGATTCGATAGTGCGGCGCATTGATTCAGTATCTCAACTGGTTGATTCAATAGTGCGGCGCATTGATTCAATATTTCAATTGGTTGATTCCATAGTGCGGTGCATTGATTCAGTATTTCAACTGGTTGATTCCATAGTGCGGCGCATTGATTCAGTATTTCAATTGGTTGATTCGATAGTGCGGCTCATTGATTCAGTATT